ACCACTGGATGAGCAAATTTTAGCTACTTATAGCGTTCACCTGTGAAGAATTTAGACACAGAGAAACATACTGCCAGCTAGCATTTCGGAAGTGTTATTGCAGAACAACACAAACAGCACGCAGAAGTATAAATGAAGCCTATTCGCTAGGCAGATGCCGTGGGTCACGACGATTGCTCAACACAGAAGTATAAATCAGCCCTAAACCCAACCGATAGTGTTTTCAAAAGTAATCTAGAAAAAGAAAAGCTGTCGTGGCTGAGTGATTTCACCACATTTTCAGCCTCATGTTCATTTATTTTTATGTATTTTTTGCTTTTGATTTACCTGCTTTCCAGAATCAAACCCCATTGTCGCAGTCAACTCCGGTCCATATTCCACGTCCATCTATATACATGGTGAGCCACTGGGCAAACTGGTAACACCTGCAAAGCTGTTAATGTGGAGTTAAGCGGTCAGTTGGTAGCGCTAAAAGGGTGCAGAAGCTGTTGGCAGTGTCACACCACCCCATAGCATTCTTTTTTTTTTCACCTGGGGATACTCATCCCGAGGTCCTCAGATTATGCGGAGTCACTGATTGGATCCAAGACCAGCGACGTGATGATCCCAAGGATTCCATATCCGGGACCAGGCCATATCCTGAGCTGCTGCTGCGCTGATGGTCGTGGGGAGTGGAGAACATGAGTCTGATTCCAGCGACGTTCCAGGGACAGACGAGTCTTCGCTGAGGCCATCTTCCAGCATAAACCACGGCGAATGAAGCTCTGCACAAGACTTTTGGCCAGCGGAGAAATTAAAATGGTCGTGCCCAACTGAGTCTGGTTCCCTCAAGGTTTTTTTTCTTCACTCCCATCAGGTGAAGTTTTTTTTCCCTCTCCGCTGTCGCCACTGTCTCGCATGGTTCAGGATTGGTAGAACTACGCATCGATGAATTTGCTCTTCAGTGTTTGAACTCTCAGTAATGATTAAATCACACTGAACTGAGCTAAACTGAACTGAACTGAACTTAAACACTAAAACCTGAACCACACTGTTCTAGTTACTATGACCATTTATGTGAAGCTGCTTTGACACAATCTACATTGTAAAAGCGCTATACAAATAAAGCTGAATTGAATTGAATTTTAAAGTCAAAATAGCCAGACATATATCTGGCTACATTCGTACTCTCTAGAAATGTACACAGGGGTACGTATTCACATTGAGCCTGTGTTGGTCAAATCTCATGCAATACTAGACATTTTTGGATTATTATTCATTCATTCATTTTCTGCCGCTTTTCCGGGGCCGAGTCGCGGGGGCAGCAGTCTTAGAAGAGAACCCCAGACTTCCCTCTCTCCAGACGATCCTCCGGGGAGATCCCGAGGTGTTCCCAGGCCAGCCGAGAGACATAGTCCCTCCAGCGTATCCTGGGTCTATCCCGAGTCCTCCTCCCAGTGGGACATGCCTGGAACACCTCCTTAGGTAGGTGTCCAGGAGGCATCCGAGACAAATACCCGAGCCACCTCAACTGACTTCTCTCAATGTGGAGGAGCAGCGGCTTTACTACAAGCTTCTCACCCTATCTATAAGGGTGCGCCCTGCCACCCTTCGAAGGAAACTCATTTCGTCTGCTTATATCCGAGATCTTGTTCTTTCAGTAATGACCCAAAGCTCATGACCATAGGTGAGAGTAGGAACGTAGATTTACCGGTAAATTGAGAGCTTTGCCTTTTGGCTCAGCTCCTTCTTTACCACAACATACCAGTACATCGACCGCTGCTGCCGCTGCACCAATCCGCCAGTCAATCTCACATTCCATCCTTCCCTCACTCATAAACAAAACCCTAAGATACTTAAACTCCTCCACCTGGGGTAAGGACTTTCCTCCAACTTGGAGTTGGCAAACCACCTTTTTCCAGTGGAGCACCATGGCCTCAGACTTAGAGGTGCTATTTTTGAAAGGAGGAGCGGCACCAAACCACACCCCTAAACCCAACCGTCATTGAGGGATGAGGAAATCGCACTAAACTGTATGGATGAGATTGTAAAAATTTATACAATTTCTTCATATGTTCCGCTCTTCGCTTCTATTAAAAGTCCCAAAGGCCCACCTCAAAAGCAAAAACTCATCTATTTTCCAGGTCATTTGAAGTCCTTTCATCGGCGGGCCAACGGTTTCATTTTTAATCCTATTTATTCTGGTCAACTGGTAGCATTTCTTAACTAGGCGGAATTATTTAGAGGATTATTTACTTTTTTTTTATTTTAACACATTGAAATTAAAACTCTTTCTGTATAGTCTATTTTACATTCCATATGCTCACTTTTACATTATATTATTGCTGTTTTGTTTATTATGTCTGTATCTTCTCTGTAAAGCACTTTGGGCGGCCGTTTGTAAATGTGCTATATAAATAAATCAAACTTGAACTTGATTAGTCACCGAGTCAAAAAGTTACAAATTGCCATGAGATGGCATCGCACATTCACCTTTCCTCAATTACAGCCATATAATTAACCCACTCTATATTTTAGATTTACAGCAAAAGAAAAACAAGACATGTTTTGAGTTTCATGATGGGGGAAAGGCAGTATTTATTTATACATTAAACCAAAATCTAAGCCCAAACTTCTTTCGCTGTCTTGCAAACACTGATATTTCCTAATAGAACTGCAAATCAGCACATTAATGTGCTGTAGGGGGCAAACAAGTGGAAAGAGTTGTAAGGTTACTTCTTTCTGGGGGGAGTGGGGGACTTCATGCCACGAGGTGGGGCAGAGGATTTGTTACTTTGGGGAGGAGCTGGAGACTTGCCCCCGGCAGGGGCAGGGGTAGGGGTGGCAGCTTTGGTGGTAGGAATTACAATCGGGCCAGTGGGAGGCAAGATCCTCTTGGAGGAAGGGGTCGGTTTGATGTCTGGAATCTTGTCTCCATGTTTGTACACGCTGACGATGATGTCCACTGTTTCACCGCCGAACCTGTTTTGCACGGTCATGGTATACTTGCCAGAGTCCTCCATGGACACCCCTTTGATAGTGAGGCTGGCAAACTTTCCAGAGTCCAAGGCAATGACGTACTGATCGCTGGGCTCTACTTCTTGATCGTTCTTAGACCAGCTGACCTGAGGTTTGGGATCACCGCAGACAGTGCAGGTCAGACTCAGAGTCTGAAGCAAAAAAAAGAAAAAAAAAGAAAGAAAAAGAAAAAGGAATAATTACTTTAATATTATATAAAAGGCGTATTTAGATTTTCAGATTTAGATTTCTGCAGATTTTGAGACCATAATTGAATCTTTTTATTTACATTTAAATCATGCTCTTTGGTATCCCTCAAAGTTGTTTAGAGTTAAATGTTTAGAGATGGTCTGCCAAAGTCCCTTTAAGCCACAGGTGTCAAACTCAGTTCTAAAAGGGCCGCAGCTCTGCACAGTTTAGTTCCAACCCTAATTAAACACACCTGATCGAACTAATTGAGTTCTTCAGGCTTGTTTGAAACCTGCAGGTAAGTGTGTTGGAGCAGGGTTGGAACTAAACTGTGCAGGGCTTCGGCCCTCCAGGAATTGAGTTTGACACCCCTGCAGGAGGCTGCACTCTAGTGCGATTTGGGAAACAGCCACTAGATGGCGTGGTGGCCATTTTGAAATGAAAATTACAATAGAACAACAGCATATTATAAGTCTGTAAAATAAACAATTAAAAGTGCTGATGATTGTGATAGTAAGTGTTGTATTGTCATCTATCAGGTTGTATCTCAGCTTTTTAAATAAATAAATAAATAAATAACAAAGCAGCTGCTTGCCATCGCGACAAAAAATAAGATCCAATGGACAGCTGACCGCTTTCCAAAATGGCAGAATCCAAGGCTGTTGGTGGGCGCTGCTGTTGCAATGGACCTTTCTATTTAGTGTCGTCTCTTGGTCATTCTAAGCTCTTTGCTTTAAGGCAAGCAATTTCACTCGGCAGCCATCTTTGAAACACCTCTCGAGCAGTATGCTCAGGCATTCTGTCTGAACGGGGAAACATCAAATTCTCCAAAACTGCTTGCCAAGCTTACTATTTAATTTCATATTAGGAATCAGCAATAAAATTAAACAACAACGGTCTCTTTAGGATTATCTCTAAACATCTAAATCACACAAAATGCCAGTATTTTGGACTGTTTTTGCAGTCCACTTAGAATCCAACATGGAAATAATTTTTGTTTTTTGTTGGCATTGATTGTTTTGAAATTCAAATGCCTGTGTTTTTATTTCTAATAAATCTTTATGAATTTTATTTTCTAATAAATCTATATGAATTTTTATTTCATATAAATATGGCTTCCAAGCCAGCAGTTTAAGGTTCTTGACGGTTTATTGCGGGTATGATTTTTACAGGAATAAATCTGTGTTACAAGTTAAACAAAAATTCTAATCCACATGAATTTAAATTGTTTCTTTGTCTTGAGTTTACATTAATTTGCATTGTACATTCGGATAGCCAAAATCACAAGTTTCAGTAAATTTATTGTGAATATTCGCAATTAATTGCAAACAATATGGGCAAAAATGATTTTAAATCACACTGATATGAGCTAAACTGAACTGAACTGAACTTAAACACTAAAAACTGAACTACACTGTTCCAGTTACTATGACTATTTATGTGAAGCTGCTTTGACACAATCTACATTGTAAAAGCGCTATACAAATAAAGCTGAATTGAATTGAATTGAATTGAATTAATTATTTTTTAATCGATTGACAGCACTAATTTATTTCATTTCATTTCATTTTCTTGTCGGCTTAGTCCCTTTATTAATCTGGGGTCGCCACAACGGAATAAACCGCCAACTTATCCAGCAAGTTTTTACGCAGCGGATGCCCTTCCAGCCGCAACCCATCTCTGGGAAACATCCACACACACATTCACACACACACTCATAAACTACGGACAATTTAGCCTACCCAATTCACCTGTACCGCATGTCTTTGGACTGTGGGGGAAACCGGAGCACCCGGAGGAAACCCACGCGAATGCAGAGAGAACATGCAAACTCCACACAGAAACGCCAACTGAGCCGAGGCTCAACCCAGCAACCTTCTTGCTGTGAGGCGACAGCACTACCTACTGCGCCACTGCTTCGCTTCACTAATTTATACGTATCCTATTTTAGAAACCATAGGAATTACCTTTAATGTACTACTATGTATCGTTTCCGAATAAATAGGATACAAATATTGTCAGTGAGAAGCTGTAGCACACATACAGTACTGCAAAGCAACTTTCCCCGACCCACCACCCTCCCCTGAGTGCACATAAATAAAGAAATCCAGCAAAAAAAATTCAGATCTTTCAGATTTTCATTTTACATGACATATCCCGCACCAGTGGATATCAACAAAGCTGACTGGAAACCCACAGTGTACTCCATGACCTCTGCTGGTCATGTGAAAGGTCTTCTCTAACACATGAGTTCACTTTAATGGATCTGAGAGTTGACTGACCTGCTATGTTTGTTTGATCTGAACAACAACAAGAACAACAAAAAAGGATGCAGGACATTACCAGCATCACCAATTCGGGAAAATCGTAATCCCATCAATATCCTCTCCTAAGCAGAATACACAATATTCCCCGAAATGGCGTCATGCTGCTTGCAAGCAATGGATTAAGAGGCTGAAGACAATGGACATGGATCCTGAAGAGCGCTGGAGTATGACGCCCTCCAGCACACACTCCCAGAGCTGAGAAAGAGCAGCAGAACGCCACTCAGCAGCACCACTGCCTGCAGCAATACTGATCACTAATGCGTCTGCTATACAGCCCTCCGCAGACCACCGAAAGGAATACTCCAGGTGAAACATAACCTTAGATGTACTGACAACTAGGTTAATATAGAGTGCTCAGCATAAATGAGAGCACGCCGTTTGGAAAATGGATGTTTTATGAATTTCTCAGTGAATGTGGGTAATGTATTTTGGTACATTTGAACAAAACAGATTAGATAAAAAGATGTATTTTTATAGTTTTTCTCCATTGGTTTGACTCATTTCTTGAAACAGAAATTCATGATCAATTGGCAAAACAGTGTTACAGTTTAGCACAACACTATAGCTCACTTGCAAAAGCTCATACCTTTCCCAAAACAGTTCACTTATGTGTCAAAACTAAATTTCCTTCTCATTTAAACAGTCAGCGCCCCCAAAATGCTTCATGAATGAATGAATGAATGAATGAATTTATTTAACAGGGACAATGCACAAAAATGACATTAACCTCAAGGAGGAAAGATGTATTGCGCCAGGTTGTAGCAGGATTGCTAATATATATATATATATATATATATATATATATATATATATATATATATATATATATATATATATATATATATATATATATATATATATATATATATATATATATATATATATATATATATATATATATATATATATATATATATATATATATATATATATATATATATATATATATATATATATATATATATATATATATATATATATATATATATATATATATATATATATATATATATATATATATATATATATATATATATATATATATATATATATATATATATATATATATATATATATATATATATATATATATATATATATATATATATATATATATATATATATATATATATATATATATATATATATATATATATATATATATATATATATATATATATATATATATATATATATATATATATATATATATATATATATATATATATATATATATA